AGACTTACATCGATCAGCGGTAGGTCACAGGGGACTTTGTTGGCACTAATTCTTGACCTGCGCAAGTGTAAAAGTACTCATTCAGGGCTTGAAGCTCTGCCTCTGGCAGTCATCCAGGATTCATAGAACCGTAGTTACATATGGAACTCACATTGTTGGCTTACTGATTAGGTCACCAATGTCAGATGCTGTTCTCTAGATTTTCAAGAACTGAGCCAGAAAAACAAGGAAATAATAACTACATGTTACATCAGTTCTTTACAAATTAAGTAGAAATATTTTCTTATTCCAAAACACAAACTGATCTTCTCAATAGAGATGTAGAAAACTGAAGGTTTAGCCTGAGAAGCAGAGCATTGACCATAGGAACCACATCAGGTCCAGGATTATTCTCTAACTCTCAGCTGAGAAATTAGTTTCTAATTGAAGGTCACAACATCTACAGGCACCACCCGCCCAGAGCAATGGTTACAGGAATGGTTCTGGTTATTAACTCCCTCACCACAGAACAATAAATGGTTACCAAACTGTTTCAGCTGATTCATATCATCTCATTAACAAGCAGATCTATGGAGTCCAGCTGAACATCGTCCCTCACCTTACAGCCACTGAAGCCTTGTTTCCACAGAGCCAGATGTTCTTGGAACATTTAGTAATGTTCATCAGTAGTTTCTGGTAGTTTTGTGGACTTATTATACTTTTATATTTTTCTCAGACGAGTCCTCAATCCTTCTATTGCTGTTATGGTTTTCCCCTTTTTGGTTTTTTAGTTATCTAAGTAATTGTGTTTTGTTGATTTTGGTTTTTCATTTTGTGTTATATTCAAGCAGTCTTTAGTTATTCTCTGTTGCCCCATTTTGCCTTTCTCCTCTCCCCTAGCTCCCTTCTAGTCACTTCCATCCACACCTGCTCCATATCAGCTGATTTTTCGTCTTTGTTCTGTCTCCCATATATACTCTCCCTGTGCAGATCCTCAGTGCTGGCTCCATGTTGTTTCTTTGCTCCCATGTGTGTTTTCCATGACGTCTCCTGGATTTTTGGTTTTCGGTGTTTTGTTTTTAGACTTTGCTTCTGTTGCCTTTAGCATTTTGATTAAAACTACAGAACTCATTTATGCCTCCCTCATCTCTGCATTAGGGTCCTCAACCAACCTCCACCCTCATGTTGACAACCACATTATATCTGTCTCCTAAGACTTTTGGTTTGTACAAAAAAGATAAAAAAAAAAAAATAACGGTTAGGAAAAGTGGAAAAGATAACAACCAGTCCCAGTTCTTGCCTGTTTTTCTTTATTCTTTGGGATTTTCCTTTTTAAGATCTTCCATGTGGTGAACATCTGTCTTTGCGACACGTTACAGAGAAAATGCTAAAAATACTAGAAAATATTGACATTTGTTCTGTGCAAACTGTGTCCAACCTAACCCGATGTTTATTCATTTATAAAAATACATAACTGAAAAAAAAACTGTCCAGTTGCTTGCATAGAAATCTGTACAAAGGCAGTTAATATCTGAAAACTGAGGAAAAAAGACAATTTCATTACATATAAAGTTATTGATTTACTGAAGGTTTCCTCCATTAATCATTCTGGTTTTCAGTCAAAGAGCTGATGCAGTTCTGTTAAAGTGCTCTGTTCAAAAATGTACTTCAGATAAGAACTGAGTTAAATTTAAAAACATTGGTTATAAAATATTTGCCCTCTGAAATCAAACAGTTCATATTTATTAAATACACATTTCTAACAAGGTTAAGTTCAAGGGCGTAGCTTTGATTTCCACTTTGGTAGGGACACTATTGCTCCAAAGTTTCATTAATGTCATTTTACCTATGCAAAAACATGCATGCTTTTTTATGCTTGACGTGAGCATCAGGGTGCATTTGGTTTAAAGAGAAAAGCAGCATTTCTTTCACATGTATACTCATTTTATTAGCACTACACACTAGATGCTATTTATCAATGTTTGAAGCATCACTGGCTCTGATGAATCTGGAATTACGACTTTTTTCCACTTTGAAAAGGTTTGCATTTAAACTTACCAGTGATTAAAACAGTAGTTAAATATGTGCTAACTTAACCAAATATAGTCTAAATATGCCCGTTATATGTGAATTTATCCTTTATTTTCTTTGGAAGATATATAATTGTGCAGAGGTAAACAGGTTAAACACTCTTATTTTTTTTAAATGCTCTCTCTGTATCATGAAACAACGCAAAATAACACATTCAAGGGACGCAAATACATTTATTGTATATACATTTAGTGGCATCATCTACAAAAAAAAAACAACACTAAGAATGAGACTAAATTTATTCCAATATAAAATCACTCTTAACAATTATTAAAAGAAAATATAACACCATCTTGTCCATAATGTAATAATATCCAAAAATAAAAACAGCTATCTATCCATCTATCTATCTAGATCTATACTCTGTGTGACATAAAATATGGATCTCCATCCCGGCCACAAAGGCCATCAAATAACGTTTAAAATAAAAAATACAGTAGGTTGAAAAGTCAGAGTATCCATCCATCCATCCATCTTTCTCCCTTTCTTCATACAGGCTAACTTTTGATCGTTCACGCTCTCCATAGTTCTCCTGTGGCGCGAGCACAGGGCGACTGTTGCGCGCCTTCAGCGAGCATGCGCGTTTCCTGTCACTTGCGCGGTGACTCTCGCCGCCTGCGCTGTGCGGAGATGCAGAGGAAGATGCACCGGTATTTCCATCAGGAAAACGCTGTTTTGCTGCTGGAGTCCTCCTGACTCTCCATCTCTCGGTGTGTGCTGTACATTAACACCCACCAGCGGAAACACCCACCTACCCAACTGACATATGGAATCTCACTATACATCAGCCATTCTCATCCTCCCCTCTCCCATGACAAGGCGCGCACCTCTGGATGACCTAAAAATAATCTTTAATATCTCTTAAACAAAAGTAGCACAAACAATATTTTTTTCTGCACAAATCTGCACTAACGTTGCACTAACCATTCAGTCTATTTGCAGAGTTTTTTGACGTGGGTGGGGTGTCAGCTTCACGCAGCTGCGCACGAGTCCTATCATGAAAAAAGGTTCATTGTGCGACCTGAGTAACGCGCAGTAACGGGGTGTCTGCAATGGTAACTGCGTTATAGTTACAGTCAAAGTAATTAGTTAGATTACTCGTTACTAAAGAAAGGTAACAGCGTTAGTAATGCCGTTACTTTCAATGCCGTTAGTCCCATCACTGGTTATTGGCTTTATCCTATTTTTAAAAGTAGAAATAGTCAAAGACATATTATATATGTAGAACTGTAATTATGCTTTCTAAACAAAAAATATCAGATGTTTAGGCGCCATCTCGTGTTGTTATACTCTATAAAAGAAATAACACCTGTTATTTATAGCTGAACTGCCTCAAAGGGTCGTCATAAAACGAGAACAGTAACTTCAGTGAATTATTGTTAAAAGGGAAACCCTCTTATTTTCTTTTTCAGTTTACTGTGGCTAAGAATCAGCAATCAGCAGCTTTCGTCTGTTTTAGTGTAGATAGAATAAAGTTTTTTCATTAGGACTGGTATCGTAGCCTAATATTATTTGAAGTAACTAGCGTGAATAAAATTCTCATTTCGTGCTCCAAGCACCAACACACGCATACGGGCTAGAAAACAGCCAATCGGGAAGAGAGAAGGCGGAACTTGAGGCCGAACAACCAGTGAGAGTGGAGCTAAACAGCACGGTTACTTATTTAAGGGACAGGACTTAGATGGAGCGGCAGCAGCAGCTACTAAGCTGCGGAGCTGCGAGAGAAAAAGAATTGGCTGTGTGTGATCCACCACGCTGAATTTTAAATTATAAACATGTTATTCAAACCGAATTATTGGTAGGGACAAATAGGTTGGTCCAAAAGTTTGGTAGGGACATGTCCCTATGGTCCCTATGCAAACCTACGCCCACGGTTAAGTTGTGTGCAGAGGATCAGTGACTCTGGAGGAGCAGAAAGTTTCAGTCGTTCTTTCTGATCACTGTAGAATCAAACGTCTCAGAATCCAGCTTGGTTTGATCCAGAAACTGAAACTGATTTAATCTACAGTAACCAGATGTTCAGCCGATGGTTTGGTCCTAGTCTTCAGTTCACTGAAGAGAAAATGAGAGAAGTTAATGAATCAATTAGAGATGGATGGAGACATCCAGCAGCTCACAGTCCTTTAATTATTACATCAGTTTTATTTTATTCCTCAGAGAAAATGTCAGCCTTCCAGATCACTGACAGGAAAAACAATCCATCCCATAATAATCAAGTAAAGAACAGTTTTCTATCTTACCTGGTTAGGAGTTCAGGGCATGTTGTTCTGCTTCTTGTGCTTGATCCTATTATGTAGAAGAAAAGTCAGTGATTTCTTCAAGAAACTGAATATTTCTATCAACATCTGTTCAGTTAATAAACCTACATACCCTTTGGGATTTTTGTTTTTTTCTGCAAATATCTGTGAAAAGTCAAATGTAACAGATATTAAAACAGTAAATAAAAAATTTAATTATCTGTAGAAATATTCTATGGCAGTCTTTCTATCTTACCTAATAGTCTCTTTTGTTGATATTTCAAGAGAAAACTAAAAACAACAATAGTCACTGACAGACCTAAAACTATCATCACCCCACCGATCACTATTCCTGTGATGTTTTTCTTTTCTCCACATTCAGCATCAGTTGAAGTATTTCCTGCTTTTATCAGCTGAAGGTTTTGTTTTTCACATCTGCAGTAACAGAAACATGCATCCAGGTTAATGCTCTGCTGAACATCCTGCTGTGTTTAAGGT